TTTGTGTTTGTGCGTTGGATGAACGGATGAATAGGCATTAACTGTCAACAGCGGATGGACAAGATCTTTGATGCCCTGGCGACCGAGAGCAGTTGGAAGAGCTGTCCCTCCTGTCGCCACATGATCCAAAAGGAATCAGGTACCCTGTCCTTCTCTTCTGTTTGGCTGTCGCTCATTGTTCGTGTGATGCAATAACGTCTCCTTGATGTCTGCGCGACACTTACACGTTATTCCATTCTGCATGATGTCCGTATTGTTAGGCTGCGACCATATGACATGTCGGTGCGGGACCCAGTTCTGCTACCTTTGCGGAGGCAACGGATGGCCTTGTCGAAACCGACATTAACGTTTAGCCGGCAAAGATAGATGACGACCAAGGGTGGACGCTGCTTATGCAGGGTTGGTTGGAGAGCGCCATTGGACGGATCAGGAACAGCGCGAGGACTGGGAAGGTCAAGGGAGGACAACATTAACAGCTAAACAACAACAAAAAGAAACGACAGGACAGACATGCCTCCATGGAGAGGAGGGTGTTTATCGCCAAACAACCTTGTGAATACGAATGACCATTGATGAATCAACGACCTACCAACATACAAAGCGGGAAGCCGGCAGAGGAGTGGCGTCCCCTTTGCCTTTTTGTACATACATTGACTACGGATATTCCTCACGTGCAAGGGCCAGCCGAGGACAGGCCGCGAATAAAAATGATTTGCCAAGACAACCACTGCTTCCTTCTCTTCATTCTTTTCACTCCATTCCTTTCTTTTCAGTCTTCGACCTCCAAAGAACGCGCATCAACACACAGGAGCAGAACAGGAACACCCAAGATCTGATTCACAGCCATGAGCAACTTTCCTGACTACTATGGTACAAAGACAACAGCCCTTCAATCATTCACCTACCCCTACCATGACTCCTTGAGCGTGTGGCCTGGGTGCACTTGCTTCGTTTTCAAGCTCACCCGCTCGCCCATTCGAGCATTCGTCGCTCCTCATTGACTGACCCTTACTGTCGCCCTTCCTCTCCAACCAAAACGACAACCTAGCACTGCTAAAGGTGAACGAGACTGCAACGTCAGAAGAGATCCGCGAAGCGTACAAGCGGGAGGCGTTGAGGACACACCCCGACAGGACTACCAACCTTGGAGGACCCAATGGTGAACGACCCTTGTCCAAAGACGAGGCCACCATACTCTTCCAGCAGGTCGCAGGTAACAAACATTGACATTAATTGAATCGGGATTCTTGGTTCGCTCTGTTGCTTGGAACCTCGAACTGGCAGCGCCTCTCTATTCATTCTCACGCTAGTCCCTTTTTCTTAATCCTTCGTGGAAAAAAAACAACAACAGATGCTTACTATGTGCTGTCAAATACGCAGAGACGCAGGGAATACGACATTGCACGGCGATCATCGCGGGACAGGGATTCGTGGTCCACCTCGGCTTCGGCCCAACAGCATACAGAGCCCGAAGTGGTCTTTGGAGGCGTCTTTGAAGAATTGCTTCGACCTGAGGTCCAGAACCCAACATCGTTTTATTCCAATGTTGGGATGGCCTCTGGAGCTGCCCTTGGTTTCATCTGTGGTGGTGTTCCTGGCGTTCTTGTGGTACGTTTTGCCTGGCTTTGCTGTGGGCGACAAGAGGCGATGGAGAATCTCTACGATGCACTCCCATTTCTTTTTTCTTTTCAAGTACATTATGCATTTTTTCTTTCTTGTGTCACTTGGCTCTTGTGTTTATGCTGGGATGTGACCTGACCCTCTCTCGCTCTTCTCAAGAGTCTTATGGACACATTTCTCTTCCATCCTATTACTAATTTCACTCGACAATCAACTCTCCTCAAAACCTTAGGGAGGTTATGGCGGAAAGACATTAGGCCGTATCAGAGATCAAAAGGGCGTCAGTGTGATTGAGGCGTTTGGGCGATTGGAGCATGCACACAAGGCTGCCATCATTGCCGGCTTGGCCGCCAAGATCTTTAAGAGTCTGCAGTAATCAGGACAATCATATCTGCTGATCTCCTGTCGCGCGTTTTTTCAGTCAGCCATGCGTAATAAAGGGGTCAGTTTTTTTACTCTTTGAGCGTGCCAAACAGGAGGAGAGCGAAGATCTCTCATTTTTTTCTCGGCCTCATCCAACACTCTTGCGTAAAAATAAAGCTCTGGTCTGGAAGTTGACCTAATCATGCTCCTTTGTTCTTTTCTCTGTCTGGGTTCGGAGACAACATTTCGCCCCGCCATCTGTATCCAAAAGTGCAGGCCGACTGCACCAACCGTTGCGGTTTCTGGCCTTTGCTGATCCAATCTCGCCTCGACGGCATTTCGCCCAGAAAACCGAAAACCTTGTTTTTTTCGACTCAGGGCCGCAGTCAATTTTTTTTTCTTTTCTTTCACAGCCTGCACACCATCAACAAACACTCAACGCTTTCCATCTCGCTTGCTTGCTTGCTTGCTTGCAGAGTCCATCATGGAAAAAAAAGAAAATTTACGGCCTGTGTGACTCGAACACACAACCTTCTGAACTTCCGTAAGACGCTCTCCCAGTTGAGCTAAGGCCGATTCCCTCAAAAAGGTGTAAAGCTAGAACTTCTCTCAACACCTGTAGCAGAACCCTTGAGTCGAGGAAAAACGCAAAAAAAAGAATTTGCGACCTGTGTGGATTGAACACACGACCTTCAGATCTTCAGTCTGACGCTCTCCCAACTGAGCTAAGGTCGCAATCGGGCTTTCGCACCTTGATGGATGTTGAGAATTAGAGAATATATATATTTTGAAATGAATATGCCGTCTATGTGGTGATGTCATGGTATTTTAAGAACGTGCGCGGCCTGCGTCGCGATCACTTCCGTACCCATAACTTGAAACCTTAAAAATCGTTTTTACCCCTGTTCTACAAATTACCAGACCGGCACCTTGAGACATTCTCATTCCCCTTTTTTTTCTGCTCATTCCCATTCCCTTTTTTCCCCTCATTCCTCATTCCATTCCCAAAAAAATCAAAAAACAGAAAAAACCCAAACAAAACACCCAGTTCTATTGCAACATGGTTGACTT